AGCAGCAGCGAACTCGTCTTCCATACAGAAACCTGAACAGGGCGCAACATCTCCTGCGTGCTGCAGCACCGCAGAAGACGCGCGGGGTCTCCTTATCCCGCTGCTGCTGCTGTTGCTGCTGCTGCTGCTGCTGCTGCCGCCACGCAGAAGGAGACTACCCCTGCTCTGCTGCTGCTGCTGCTGCTGCTGATACATGTCTCTCTCGGGGAAGAGGCGATAAGAGCTAGACAGCGCACTTGGTGCCGCTGCTGCTGCTTCTGCTGCTGCCACCCAGCAGTCAGCAGCAACAGGATGCCTAGAGACCAGAGGGCCCCCAGCAGCAGCAGCAGCAGCAGATCGACAGGTGGCGTGAGGCGGCAGCAGCACCAGTTGCTGCAGCTGCTTCTCAACCACGTGTTGCTGCAGCAGCAGCTGCTGCTCCTGCTGTTGCTGCTGCGGCAGCTCCTCAGCTAGAGCAACCCTAATCCGCAGCAGCAGCAGCTGCAGCAGCTGCGCGGAGATCAGAAGATCCCCCAGGTCGTCCCCAGCAGCAGCAGCAGCAGCAGCAGCAGCAGGTTTGCTGTCTACTATGCTGTCCCCTCCAGCTGCAGAGGAGCCGCTGCTGCTGCTGCAGTTCAGAGACAAAAAGGACAGTTCCAGGCCTTTAGGGGAAGTCTTTGTGGGGCAATTTGCTGCCTCGCTGCAGCAGAAAGGAGCGCTGCGGAAGCGACCAGAACTACATTCTGCTGCTGCTGCTGCTGCTGCTGCTGTTGCTGCTGCTGTTGCTGTTGCTGTTGCTGGTAGTGCGCTGCTGCAGCGCTCCAAGAAAGGCAGCATCGACTGCAGCGCCTGGAGAACCAGCGGATTTGCCTGTAGCGCCTGCTGTTGCTGTTGCTGCTGCTGCTGCTGCTGCTGCTCGTCAAAAAGCAGCAGCAGCAGCAGCCATGCTCCCGCCCCACACACATCTGTGCAAGTGCAAAGAGTAACAGCAGCACCACTCAGACAACTTGCAGTAACAGCAGCATCGCCTTCCCTCAACAGTTGCTGCTGCTGCTGCTGCTGCTGCTGACAGGCGACTCCTGCGTCGGCCGTCCCGTCAGCAGCAGCAGCAGCAG